AACTAAGTTTAAGCCACACTCTGGGTTTCTTTCAAATTCCCCTACGATTACCTCTGTCACTTTTCTTTTGGTTTGTCTCCAGGGATTTTTCCCTTTTAGGTCAGACTTTTTCCCTTGCGTGTTTCTACCCCAATTATTGCGTTCTGTATTGTCATAATGGCATGTAGTTTATTATTGTTTTTTTCAAGTTGATAAAAGACTGTTGTTTTCACCTGAGTTCAAGCCATCAAGGACGTGCAATGTTTCTATTTTAGATCTCGTTACAAAGGACTTCGGGTCAAGTAGGTCAAGTGGAGAATTAGAAACTGAAAGGTCTGAAAGCGGTCCCCAGCATACTCCGTACCGCTATCTTGCGAAACCGAAACTTCATGTTACATGTAAATCCCTGACATCATCGGGTCACAAGACGTGCACTAGCTCCGTAAATCATTTGGCTGCAAAGTTCTCCACGTAAAGTCTTTTGTTTTTGCGAGCTATCAAAGCATACTTCAGTCCAAAGACTTTCCGTTTTTTGAACCCTTTTCTAGAGCCAGCTGAAACTACTCGAGTGTCCTCGTGTAGGTGACACACTATACACTGTACAAAACGCGTCTCATGTGATTGAAGTACACTATGTCGAAGGTCCAAGTTCTCTTCTGCGCTTTGTCGTTGTTCGCGATGACTTTGGTTGTTGGTAAGTGGATTAGGATCAATAATCTTGCTGACAATCCATGTTGCGTTATTGCAAATGAATTATGGCCTTTTGGGAGGGTCCTACGTCTGACAAAATTGGAAGTTGAAAAGGAAGGAAGATACACAACTCAAAAATGAAATAGACCACCGATCACTGATCAGTAAATTTGCACTGATGGCTAATGATTCATGTGATGAATAAGGTCTTGCTGAGTGACGCCATGCTGCGTTTCAAATTAGCATAAAGTTTTAATTTCATTGTTGAAATTTTATCTTCCGGTTGGGCGCCTTTTCAACGAAGATTCCTTGTGAATACGTTAACCCCGAGGTCGGCTAAATTTAACTTTATTGTTTGTTTGTTTATTTGTTGTCAATGCCAACTGTTTCTAATCTCTTGAAAGTATTTTTATCGTGATGTTGCATTCTCTGAAGTCAAAATCTCCTCTAAAAAAATCCTTCGCCTTCTGATCGTAAACGCGAACCGAAAGAGCACTTCCTGTTTGGAGGCTATAGAACCCAGTCCCTACTGCGTGCAAGATCCTAAGAGCTAACAGGGGCTCCTGCTCAACGAAATTAACGCGGAACCACGCATAATTATACGTTGTTTTTTAAACAGTGACATAACTATAGTGACGTCACCTGCCGGTTTTAGCGCGTCTTTGGTGCAGACGTCTTTCTCGGAAGTAACTAACCGAAGAAGCCAGTTTAAATTCAGGCTAAACTTGTTGAAGAACTTCAGTAAGCCCTCCGGACTGCGACCCGAGTTAACACTGACTTTCCTTCGTGTTTGCATCACAATATATTGAATGACAAGCCGCATCTATTTACTTACAAATTGCCTTGTTTTTTATCGTAAAGTTCGTCATAACATTGTCCTGGTAGTCTGCGGGTCCACCCAATGTAAATTCGGCCTTTTTGACAACGACGGAAAGCCAAAACGATCAAGGGTAGAAGAACAAGTAAAAGTGCGAGCAAAATCTGANGGCTCGATATTCTTGGATTTCACATGACGTCATCGTCGCCATATTGGATGACATTTGTTTGTGTCATCCAACATGGCTGCCACGCCTTTGTCATTTGAATCACTCGGGACCGATTGCAGACCGTGAATTGTTTTGTTAGCTACCTTAGCCTCGTCCCCAGTCGCTTGACGTAGGTTTTTACTCGTTCCCACTCTCTCGTCTCTCCCTCCATTAGCATTCAGTTTACCCCTCGGCTCTTTTATCTTTTCTCCTTTATCTTATCTCGCACCAATCCCTTGGCCTGCGTGACTGATCAAAACTTACCAAAGAATTTACAGAAAACCTACAAAGTGGGCTAGACTTTTCAGAGAAGTTGCTTCAAGCAATGAAATAGGTGCGATGAAGTTCATTAATTGTGGTAAGAGCTGTATTCGGTGAAACAAAACTCTGGAATGAAATGTCGGCTCGCTCAGAATTGTAGCAAGGGTCAAGATTCTGAATACCAAAACAAATAAATTGAATGGAATGGTTAGTTGTAATGGCGCTTATATTTTTACTGATGGGTTCTTTTATGTGCGTAGTATGAAAACATGTTGATCTCTAGCGCTTTGATCAGGAATTGGCGCGAAATAAGGTCAAAAGACGAAATATGGCTGTTAAAAGATCTTAAAACAATACGTTTAGGGATTGGTAGTTTTGGATATAAATGCAAGACGCGTAATCTTACTAGGTTCAGTTTATCAGTCAACCAATCATAGTTCTTTTATACACTTTAAGTGTTAATTATTTTTTACCTTATACGTGAGATGAGTATTTCTTGTAACCTTGTGTTATATAACGTACGCAGCTTAGTTCTGGAAAGTAACTTGTCATTTGTATCAAAAGTGTTATTAAATACTGTATATAACACCCTTTCTTGCAGTCGTTCTTAATTACATCTATCAGATCCTCTTAAAAAAAACTCTAAGCTAGGTAGCAATAAGTCAAATGATAGAGGTTTTGATTTCATAGTATCACTAACATTTTCGGTATATACAATTTCCACGCCATTTGCTTCAAGAGCTAGTACTAAATATGAGTACTTTTGAGAAGGGATACCGAGGCCTGAAAAAGCACTGGCTTGTAAACTTGATGACACTGTTGATTTTTGCATCTTATCATTATGGAGTATTCGCTCAGTCAGGTAAGAATCACATACAGTGCATCGTCATCTTGTATGGTGGAAATGCTCTGATCAATTCTGAGTTCTTCTTTAATCTCTAGCCTTTACCGCGATAAAT